CAAGGACAGTCAGAGAAACCCTGTCTGAAAAAAAACAAAACAAAACAAAACAAAAAGAAGGAAGGAAAGAAGGAGAGAAAGAAAGGAAGGAAGGAAGAGAGAAAAAAAGAAAGAAATTTGAAGACTGACAGCTTTATTTATGATCTACCTTGTGGTTTTGGCTAGACTTTAGCTGGGTGCTGCTGTGGGGTAGTCTTCATGAATGATGTAACGTTTATACTGTTTTTGTTGGATAATTACATGCCTTTAATTTGTGGCACTGTAAACAGTAGTAATCTGACTCAGGATGTGCCAGGAGAGTCATTTGATAGCAGACTGTCTTCAGAACTCCGCAGAGGCCAGCATTAAGCCCAGAATGAAGCCACTTTGTAGTATACTGATGGTGTCACCTGACTAGAGTGGTGAAAAGTGCCTTCTGGTTCTGTTTTGGTTTTCTTTCCCTTTGTTTATTCTTATTTTCTGTGCATTGGTCTATGTACTACACACCACATACGTAAAATGCCCACAGAGGCCAGAAGAGGACATTGTATCCCCTAGGACTAGAGTTACAGATGGTTGTGAGCCATCCTTCATATGGGTGCTGGGACCTGAAACTGAGTCCTCTCTGCAAGAACAGTCAGTGCTCTTAACTGCAGAGCCACCTTTTGGCCCTGGATTTGTTGCTTTGTTTTGCTGACAGAGTCTCGCTGTAGTCCTGCCTGTCCTAGAACGGTGTTAACCAATCCGTCCGACCTCGAACTCACAGAGATCCACCTGCCTCTGCCTCCTGGGTGCTGGATTAAAGGTGTGCACCACCACAGCCTGGCTGTTTTCCTTTTCTGCCCAAGGTTTTATTATTTCTTCCTCGAAGACTTATTTTTGCCTGGACCCAGAATTGGTAGTGGGAGCTCCCAGCAAGGACAGCGACATCTCTTGGTCATCTCTTCTGGCATTGTTTTTTTTTCTTTTTTCATTCTCTTGGCCAAAAGTTTGTCATGTTCTCCAACCTCTTCCTCGTTTCTTTTTATATTGTTTCTTCAGAGCATTTGTGTTTCAGGACAGCTGGAGTGTCGCTGAATCCTGGGGACTTGGGTCCTGGGTTTCCTACCTTCTTTGTTTAAGGGCTTTCTCACACGTGCTGGCAGACACGATCTTCAGAAAGACTGAAAAGTTTTCGAATACTAGGAGCTCTTTGGGGCCCCAGCCACCAGGGCACAGCACTATCTGTCAGTTCGGAAATGGCTCCTCTCCTTTTCATGATGACCAGGGTGAGAGCAGGCTCCTTGAGTCACGGCTGCCTTCCTTCATTACTTTACCTCAGTTAGATTTATTTATTTGTTGGATTGTGGGTTGGTTGGTTTGTGGTGCTAGGTATCAAACCAAGGGCCTGGAGCATGCTAAGCATGTGGTCTCTACCACTGGGGTACTCTCCCCCACCCTAGAAAATTCTGATAATGTAAGATAAATGAAAATGTTAATTTGAAATGAAAATGAAATAAATAAATGCTTAGTAACTACAACTCTCACAGTATCCTCACTAAGAACAAAGGGCTTCCATCTTTGGTGATCACATTTAGTCTGTGTTCTCTGGTTTTGCTCACTTATGTTTATGGGAAGAAAATAAAGTATCTAGAAAGCATCTTCCATCGGAAGACATTTCAGTAATCTGGAACCTGAGTCTAAGTTAACGGGGCAGCCTTTGGGAATGAATCATTCCTTTGTTTAGCCCACTAGTGTAGTATTTAGATTAACGTCTAAATCTGTAGTGGACCTGACAAGAGCTGAAGAGCCAGGCCAGACATACGCATGCTGTCTCCATGGAGCCTAAAAGAAGGCATGTGGAAGTAGGACCCTGGTCATTAGTCTGTGATGAATGTTTGTGCAAAGCAATATTTTTACCATTTTATGGATGGAGCAACTGAGGCACCTTGAGGTTAAGTGTCTTGACCTTGATTCCATTGCTGTTTAGTAGATTTAGGAAATCCAGCCCTGCCTCCAGCTGTCTAGGACTCTGAATCCCCTTTTCATCTTAGCCAGTTCTGCACATGGCAAGCTCAGGTCCTTCACTTCTTACCCACGGGTCTTGGGGTAAGAAGGGACTGAGGTTTGCTGGAGTAGCAGAGGAGGCATGGGTACACTGGCATTCCCTGGCCCTCTTGGACTAGCTGCCTCTTCTGATCCCTGGAGGCTTCTGTCCATGAGGATTCAATCAGCCTCGGCTGGCTGGCTGGCTGGGGTGGAGGGCAGGAGGACTGTCTGTCAATCCTGGGAAGCTGCAAGCACTCAGGGTCTTGAACTTTATCAGGTTTGAATGTGTGATTGTGAAAGTAAAGAGCAGAGAAATGACAGCACTCAGTAAATCAAAGAGAGAAGACCAGGACTGGAGGACCAGAGGAAAACAGTCTCTGGGCTCAAAAGGGGCCGAGAGCTGGCCGAGAAGAGAGAGACTTTCACAGTTACCCTGGATCTGCCTTGAGAAGGATACATCTCTTTCACTATGTCTTATCTAGAGAACAGTATGCTTTGTCAAGGGTTGGAAATTGTTTTAGAACACACAATGGAAGGAGGAAGAAGAGAAGGACCAGAAAGAAAACAAGGCTGAAGATGTCTAGAGTGGCCTATGATGGATAATGTGCTCTTGAGACTGGTGTAACTCAGCCTTAGCACATGCCTAGCATGCGTGAGGCCCTGGGTTCCATCTTCAGCATTAAATAAAGAAAAAAAGGGGTTGGGGCTGGAGGAGGTAGGAGAGGAAAAAGAAACTCACAAAACAATAATGAAAAATTAAAGTGGGATAAATCTCCTGCAATACTAAACTGGAAGATACAAAGCTTGAAGTTCCTCTGGTCCCCAATGTCTCCCCCAATCTCCTCTGCCTTTCTGATGGCTGGGTCTAACTCCCTTCTGTCTCCAGAGAGGAGCTGGCAGGGAGGGCTGTGGTGGAGGACTGGGATTCTTTTTTGAGAAGCCTCCAGATTGCTATCTTGGTCCTGCAGAAGATGTTGGAGTCTGCTGCTGGCATTTGCAAGGGGGGAAGAAGGAGGAATGTCTCCTCTTCAAAGGCACCAAAAGCCAGCAAAGGGTCCATGTTTGCCTCACCCCTCACCCCTCACCCTCTTCCCTACCATAATGCAATAAATAAAAGTCCTGGTGCTGGTACACAGAGGTCTCAAAGCAGCTCCCAAAGTCAAACAGTAGTGCTTTCCTGGGAATTCATTCAGTACAGGGCAGTTAGGTCACATATGAAATTTGGTGCCGTATATGTGAAGGTGTTAGTAATAATTCATACAACTTACCATGTACCAGCATCACTGCCAAAGTTTTTAGTCTTTGCAATGATCCCCAAAGGGAGTTCCTCCCTCCGTCTCTCCCTCCCTCTTCCTCTCTTCTTTTTCCTTCCTTCTATCCTTTCTTTCTTTAATTTTTTTATTACATCTGTGTGTGCATGTGTCCTCGTACATTAGCGGAGGTTAAGGGGAAAGTTGTGTGAGTTGAGTGTCTTTCCGTAGTGTGTCTCAGGTCATTGGTTTATCTGGTCAGCAAATGCCTTTGCCCTTGGCGCCCCAACCCCACGGTGGTCTTTTGTTTGTTTGTTTGTTATTCTGGAGACGGGTCTGACAGTGCAGCCTTGGCTCCTCTGGGCACAGTGGATACAGACAAAGTCAGCACACCCCGCTTGTTCTTAAGCCTTTTTTACTGAAGAGGGAACTGGAACGGAGAAGTTGGGTGATTTGCCCACCTCACACAGAAAATAGATGGTGGCAAGTATTAAGATCTGGCATGGTAGCCCCAAGTCCGGGGCTGGCCCAGCGGCTCTTAGAAATTCCCTAATTTATGAGCTAGAGGAACTTGCAGACTGGAGGATGACTGTAATCTAAGCACCCTTTTAGAGAAAGACACAGGGGTGCTTGTGGGGCTTTGCCTAACCAGCTCTAGAGAGGTGCCGACCTTCTAGACTGTGAACACTCTGAGCTTGGAGCTAGCTAGTCTCCATTTCTTCTCCCTGCAGTGAGTACTCAGGACGTGTTCTGTGGGTGAGTGGCAGGAAGCTGGAGGGCTGTGCAGCGGCAGACAAACCCTTTGGTCCTAATTCTCCGCATATTTGCTACATAGCTGAACGGAGAGGTCATATTTCTGAGTAGTAACTTTTCGTGGTCACTCCCCCCTCATTGACTCAGGGATGGCATTTATAATTTAGCAAATCTCTCAAAACCTCATTTTTTTCTACTTCCCTTTCAATCGCTTCCTGCCCTTAAAAAAAGAAAATAAAATGGCAAATGCTACTCAGCAGGGAGGAAGGGCTCGAAGCTGCCTGGGCAGTGGGATCTGGAGCCCAGAATTCATGGAGCATGCACTCACTCTCAGGAGCCGCAGGTCTAGCTCATCCCATGGGCTGGGAATGTGCATTGCTTTCCTGGGAGCTGGTTCCCTTTTCTTTCCGAGGCTTCCGTGTCTCCCCCTTCACAGGCTGGCTAGAGGGTAAGGCTATGTGAAGAGGGTGTTTGGGAAGGAAGCTATTTGGAAGGGACAGGAAAAAGGGGTGTCCATAATCTCACCCCCCAGTGTGACACACAGAACGGGTAGCCCGGGGAACAGACAAGCCCTGTCCACAGGACTCCAAAGGACTCCGCTGTGCCTCCAGCCCCACAACCTTTCAGCCCTTCTATTTCAAAGCACCAGAAAATATCAAAACATTGTCTGACCACCCCAGCTACATCTCTCAGTGCTTTCAGAACCATGAGTCCAGAGCATGCTCTCCTGTTTCACCCTTTGAGAGGGAGGTGGTGACTTTGGCTGGCCCACAGCCCTGGGCTTCAAGTAGCCTTGCAGGCTGTAATTAATCGTGACTCTAAATTCTGCATTCCACCAAACCAACCTTGGGGAGTCTATAACCTTCCCACCTGGGTTCAATCCCAGGGTGCAAATCCACCACCACCAGGGGGTCAGCTCTGCTCCCGACCCCAGGAAATGAGGAGTGCCTCTCTGCTCCTAAAATGAACCATGGGGAAGGTAGGCAGGCATGATTAGGCTTTGCATTTATTACTTAGTATTAGAAAATAATAAAAACGACAGGACAAGACTACCCTTGTAATTCCAATACTCCACAGGCCTGAGGTTTGAGGATCATGAGTTCGAGGCCAGCCTGCCATACATCATGAGAGAATTTGTCTCAAAGGAAAAGGGGTGGGGGAGGGGCAAATTTAAAGCTACTTTGGGTTTCCATGGCCTTGGTTCTTCCGCAAGCTTCTCAGGAATGTTTTAGGTCCCACTGCTCCAGGGACCTCAGTGACCCCCTCCCAAGGCCTAGCATCTCCAGGCCCGGGACCCTAGACACCTAGACACCGCCTCAATTGTAGCCACAGGTCCCAATGGACCTTTGAGGTCCTGATCTCAGGGTGTCGGACGCAAGCAGGCTGGGGAGGGAGCCCGGCGCCGGCGTGGAATTTCTTTATCGGGATTCGAGAGCCGCCAGCTCTGCTTCTTCAAGCGATCCCAGAGAGACACCTTTCGATCTTTTGTCAGACATCTTGGCCCTTAATAGCTAAATTTATTTGGTTTAAAGCGGCGATGGGAGACGTGGGGAGGGAAGATCTTTCGTCGGTCATTGGGTGGCCCAGATAACAAGCTTTAAGAGAGAGAGGGAAGAAGAAAGTAAAAAGGTTAATGGCTGAGGGTGGGCCGCGGGCGCCCAGCGTGGGGCTTTTACGGCGACCCTCCCTGGCTCCCCGCTTATCGCCACCGCGACTTACCGCCGCGTAAGAAGTACATTAAGTCACGTAAACAGCGCGCGGAGAGGGACGCCACCGCGGTGACCTTTCGGGCGGCCGCGAGCCCACCGCGGCGTTGGGCTAGAGGCCGCCGGCCGGGGTCACCCGGGTCTGGGAGCGCGCGGGGCAGGGTCCCTCGAGGGTGTGGCTTGAGTCCCACCGCCGGAGGCCAAGTGGGAAGGGGACCGACTCCCGGAATTGGGGAGACCTTCGTCTGCCACCGCCACCTGATCACGTCTGGAGCAGTTTCGCTTGTTTTTAGGAAATTAAGAATAAACGGGAGGAAGGGAAGGGAAGAAGCGGGGTTAAAAGAAAGGAAAAAGAGGAAGCACGGGGAAGGAAGGGAGGCAGGGGAGGAAAGGCGAACACAAGTCCAGAGCACACTGGTAGATGGCTGGCCTTCCGAGTGGGCACACAGCCCGTGCCCCTCCACTGGACTGGGACGCTGGGGACAGTGGGGAGAGCCAAGATGACCCGTGTCCTTGGGTGAAAGAGTCCCCAAGACAGAGGTATAGTGGACAAGGCTTTATACATGCGTATCTGCTTCTCCTTTTGGAGTGCGTGGGAATCGAACCCACATCCCTGATCAATAAATAAATAACTTGCCAGTGAGTTATAGCCTCAGGTTAATATTTTTTAATCTGATGTTCAAACCATATTTAAGACAGAAATTGAGTGTGTGTTCTCCCCCTCCCCTTCAGAAGCTTCGTGAAATGACGAGGTAATGAGCTTGAGTTTGCAAGGCTAAAGGTGTACAGCGACACGGGTCCAGGCCGGGGTCTGCCGGGCCCCCGAAGCCCCAAACACCCCTTCCGTTTCTGATATGGAGCCCCCGCCCCCTGCCCAGCTGGCTGCGGCGTTCCTGCTGGATCTGAAAGGCGAATGGTGGCGTGGCCCGGCCCAAATAAATGAGCCCAAGGGGACAGGCGGCGCCCAGAGCCGGCCCTCTTTCAAGGGTAGGAATATGGTTCGGTCCGGAGGGCCTGCTCCTCGGGCCCAAATAGTTCGGTGCGATTTCGTTCAAGATTAGCAAAGCCGGGGAGGGAAGACAGGAAGGGCCGGAGAAAAGGAATTGAAAAGAAAGAGAAAACAGAAAAACACTAAAAAGAAGCCTTCAGAAGCTATCTGGGACATGATGGGGGCCACCTCCAGCTCTTGGGGTTCCCTAGTTTGGGGTGCTCCTCTCCCCTGGGGTTCTGCAGGCCTTCCATTCCCCAGCAGCGTCTAGCCTGAGGCCAGTGGGGACGGCTTTGAAATGTGACTTAGCCGCAGGGGTGTCGTCACCAGAGTTGGTGAGTCCGAAAAAAGACAACTGGAGTCTCCAGGCAGCTCAGGTTTTTGTCTTAGTCAATCAGATGGGCTAAACAGTTTTATTTTTACGTTAACTGACATGATAAATTATTTTTCTAACCTATTTCTCGTTCGGAATGCCAGTTTTTGGGGTTTTTTTGTTTTGTTTTGTTTGTTTGTTTTAAGGTGAATTTTGTGGCCCTGGGAGGAAAAACAGTGATCTATCTTCCTCCTTTGTTTGGGGACACTACTAAAATGATTGGGGATGTGGAGGATAAAATTGTGGGTCCGTTCCCGAGCCCCTAGAGCCCGAACGTTGTCGAATCTGTCAATATGGGTCGGCTCCTCACCTCTGTCCCAGCGGCGCCAGGGCCAGTGTGCTCCCCAGGCTCGGCTGCCGAGCTCTGTTCCGGAAAGCAGATTAGTGGGGGTGGGGGTTGCTATCGTCCCAGGAAATTTACGCAGGATAACCCCGAACGTTCCAATAAAAATAAAAATAAAATAAAACCCGGGACAAGAATCAGGCTCGCGCTGGAGCTCGATCTCCCTTAGCCCTGAAGGCCATTCACAGCCAGGACGCCACATTTAGTTAGCCGAATCATTTATTATTTTTTTAAGCAAATATGAACTGTCGAAATTGCTTTTAAGATCAAACTTGAGACATTATTTCGGAACAATTGGACTCAAAGGAAAAATGATGTCTAGAGCTTTAATGAATTGCTTACAAATGAACTTCGCAGAACCCAGTCCGCTTAAAAATTTGGTCAGAACTTACCGAACCACCCCAAGCAAGCCGTTGGAACCTGCGGTGGGACTTGGGCCGGCCCGTGCCAGTCTCTCGTGGTTGTAACTTTCGATCGAACACTGGTTAAAATTTAAAGCCTCCGAATCCCACTCCAGCCTCTAGTCTCTCCGTTCCAGAGTTTTCTATCTTCAGCCTTTCAGAAAGGCAGCCGCGCTGAAGACACAGTGACCGGGGGAGGCAAAAATGAACGTGGTAAAAGTGACGCCGTTGGACAAGGTTTAGAGACCTCGGTAGCAGGTTTAAAATTCAGAAGTGTTTGGCCGCATTTTACAGTGAAGAATGAAAACGGAGAATTCTCGGTAACTTCCTGGATTCGGAGTCCCCCTCCCCCTCCAGCAAGCTCGGTCCCTTCTCCCCCAGCGCACAGGTACAGTTCAAGGAAAGAACTCCTTCCTAACCACGTCTCACACCTCCCGAGACCGTATTTTACAGCGCACCCACGTTCACCTCTGGACCCCAATCCTTTCTCCAACTGGAAGAATAACAAAAATAAATATCAAACGAAACTAAAACAACAAAAACAGCTCAAATGCTTTCAGGAAGTTCTGTAGAAAGCATTTACTTTGATTTACCTGGAGTGAGTGTGTAAAAATCCATTCCCACAAGAGAGTTCCTCCTGTTCAACTATCTTTCAGTGTCCAGCTTGTCGGAAGGAATCCTTTCTGTGAGCCCGCAGGAACAAGACGTATATCACCGCTGCCTGGGACGAGCAGTGCACGACTCGCTGCTGACAGATCGGCGCTGATAACCCCGCCAATGTTCGTTTCCAGTCCTTGGCCCGCTAAGGGCCCTATCAGTTTGTACACAGTTGTGATAACCATTTGGAGGGAGCGACTAAGGGGTGTGTGTGAGACTTGGGGGTGGAGAAACAGCGATCTCTCTGGGTCCCTAGTCGGTACCCTGCTCCTTCCCGACGCGTTATCTTGGAGTTACCTCCAGTCCAGGGAAAACTCAGAGCGAAAGCGACAGGGGTGTCCCGGGACAGGACAGTGTTTTCATCCCGCCACGGTCCCCAGCACCCCATAGATTTAACCTTTCCGTACACCGCGACCCAAAGGTTAGCTGGGGAATGTTGTCCTGAACTCTACAAAACCTCCCAGGAATTTAGTATATGTTTTAAGAGCAGGGGCGAGGTAGGAGTGTGCTCAAGGGCACCTTTCCCAGATGACACCCTGGATCCCAAACGGCCCCCACAACCTAAGCATCCCGAAATAGGGTCGTTGAGAAAGTTTAAGGTCGGTGACAGGCCACTGCGCGCGGGGAGGAGGGGTTTAATTTGGAGGGGGAGATGGGAGGGCCAGTTGGGCACTTTCCCTACTGACTTTAGGGGCGCCCTGACCTAGGGGGTGGCGCGCCGGTCCGTTAGCGGCGGCGGTCAGTGCGGGGCTACAAAGATCCAGCTCCCCCCGTGCCAAGTTTCCCTCCTCCTTCTGTCCCGGGTGCGACTGTGTGTGTGTGTGTGTGTGTGTGTGTGTGTGTGTGTGTGTGTGTGTGTGTGTAGCTGGGGACCCGAGGGTGAGTTTCTTTCACTGCTGGATGACTATGGGTCGCGCGCCAGGTCTCCCCCTTAGTGTCCCCGAGCTGGGCGCCCCCTGGGTGGACTCGCCCCCACTCTGGGGACGGGGCTAGCCGCTCAACCCACGCCCGCAGGCTGCCTAGCGCTTATTGTCTGCCCGGGCTGCGCGCTCCCCTCCCCCTCCCGTCCCCTCCCCACCCGCTTTTTTCTCCTCCCCTCGATCCCTCCTCCCTCCCTTCACCTCCGCACCCAGCAGCTTGTAGAGAGCAGTTCCGACCCACAGCCTGGCACCCTTCGGCGAGCGCTGTTTGTTTAGGGCTCGGTGAGTCCAATCAGGAACGCAGGCTGCAGTTTTCCGGCAGAGCAGTAAGAGGCGCCTCCTCTCTCCTTTTTATTCACCAGCAGCCACTGGCAGACCCCGGACTCGCGCTCTCCCGCCGGCGCCCTCAGCCTCACTCCGCGCCCGGGAGCACCCTCCGCCGCGGCCGTTCTTCACGCACGTCGCTCGCCCGAGGTTCGGCTGCTTCCTCTTTTGTTGGCCCCCTCTTCCTTCCAACCCTACCCGTCGCAGGCCCTTGGGCCTCTAGCTCTGCGGCCTTTCTCTGGCCGTGATCGGCTCCGAGGGTGTTCCCCTCCTTCTCTCCAGGAGGATTGCCGGGACTCCCAGGGTTCCCGGGATACCGCGGACCAGCGCCCCCCCCCATCACCCCCGTGCTTATCTGCCCGCAGCCTTATCTCCGAGTTATCTCAGCGCCAAGGGGCGGGAGCCCGTAGTCTAGAGGGCAGAGAAACTTCTTTCTTGCTATCTTGCCCGCGTCTGTGTGTGGGCATTAATTTTAGTGTGGTTATCTCGAATGAGCAGAAGCGATTTGGAAAAGCAGCCCGGTAGAGGCCTGCCTGGCTCCCCACCCCCTCCGAGTCTCCCTGTCATTCTTCCTGCTCGCCCCTTTGGGGTGGCCTCGGCTCCGGGGCAGTCTCACCCCCTCCCCTCCTGCGTTTCCCCTCCTTTTCTCTGCGCTCTGCTCCACCCTACTATGTCCAATTCCGGAACGATCTGGCCTTTCCCCCGCTGGGGTTGACTGTGGGGTGGGCCGGGGGGTGGCCTGGCTGGCGTGAGCGCGCGCGCTGATGACTGTGACGCGCGGTCTGTGTCTAAGGTGTGCGGTCAGTCGGCCTAGACGCGGCTGGGCGTGAGGCTTTGCCCGGTGGGTTTCCCGCACTACTTCCCAGCCCCTGCGCCTGCCTGGCGTCCCACGTTCTCTGGGCTGGTGGCTCTTTCGGGAGCTCGCGTTGGATCGGGCCAGCGAGGTCCGGGAAGCTTTGAGAAAAAGCGGCGGTTTCGTTTTCGGGGACAGGTTGCTTTTGCTAGCTCTTTTCACGCGCTGAACTCTTTCTCACAGAGGCATCCCAGGAGAGGGGCACCTACCGGGAGGCAGGATGGGACATTGACACACGTGAAATTTTTTTCGTGTCATTGGTCTAGAGTTAGCCAAGCTGGGACAGAAGGAAAACCTCGGCCAGCTTTGGTCACTCCCTGGATCTGGCGCGCCTTGCTGAGGAAGGATGCTGTCGAGGGGTGGGCTAAGAGCAAGGACAGGAGTCCTGGGTGACGGGGGAGGACACCCTGGTCGCCGAGAACCCTGGGGTTGCTACGCAGATTTCATTCCCTGTTTTCTAATCCCCTCGAACATTGTGCAGACGCGGGATCTTTAAGGGATGCTCTAAGCTAGGAGAGAGATCGAGTGAAGCATGTTTTAGACTGTCCACGCTTTTGGTAAGCCCACTTTATCTGTCTTCCTGTCTTGTTCCTCAATCCCACCTCAGGAACCAAAAGTCAAGTTGGAGCAGCGCCGGACAGTGGATGGCCTTGACTGACGGCGGCTGGTGCCTGCCGAAGCGTTTCGGGGCCGCTGCTGCGGACGCCGGCGACTCTGGGGCCTTTCCGGCAAGGGAGCCCTCCTCCCCGCCTTCCCCGATCTCTTCCTCGTCCTCCTCCTGCTCCCGGGGCGGGGATCGCGGTCCCTGCGGCGCCAGTAACTGCAGGACGCCGCAGCTCGACACCCAGGCGGTGGCGGGACCTCCGGGCCGCTCGCTGTTGCTCAGTCCCTACGCCTCGCATCCCTTCGCGGCTGCCCACGGACCTTCGGCGCCCGGGGTCCCTGGCCCCGGGAGCGCCCTGTCGAGTTGGGAGGACTTGTTGCTCTTCACTGACCTCGACCAGGCCGCGACCGCCAGCAAGCTGCTGTGGTCCAGCCGAGGCGCCAAGCTGAGCCCCTTCGCGACCGAGCAGCCCGAGGAAATGTACCAGACCCTCGCCGCCCTGTCCAGCCAGGGGCCGGCCGCTTACGACGGCGCGCCGGGCGGATTCGTGCACTCTGCGGCTGCGGCG